CATACTAATACCTTCAGTTTTTATTTGGAAATTGGCTGCAACAGAATCAACTCCAAATATTTCACTTCTTACAAACAAAATCTGTAATTCTGAATATTAATAACGCATATAATCAATCTATATATTAAAACATATTTTATTACATTTTTGTAAACATTGGATCTGCTTTAGCCACTGGCGAATGTGCGACCTTTCCCCAGACACTGCGAGTTCTGTAACTTGGAGCGAAGGTACCACATGTTCACAGGTCATTCAATAAAGGGAGAATTGTCTGGAATTTCAAACTTAAGTCAAGATCGCCAAACTAAAAACAGAATTCACTTGGAGACGTTTTCTAATTTGGTGTTTTGACCTATGTGTCGTAATTCACTTTGAATTCACTATAAAATCCCAGCAATTCTCACCTTAGTAAATAACCTTGACAGACAGAGAAATTAGGAAAAAGCCCTGGGAGAGACTTGCTCTTTTACCAAATAAGCTGTGCTGGTTATCTGCAACATTACGGCCCCCAATCACAATGAAAGCATCTTTCTCAAGGGAAGTCCAGGTGATACACAGACACAGAGATGTTATTGTTTTGTGTATCACTCGACCCCATTTTGTTTGACTGTTAGTCCCCCTCATACTCTCTAATACAAGTGTAGGTAGCCACCAGCACTCCCGTTGTAGAGGACTGCGTTTTACCTGATGTTTTGCAAGCATACAACATACAAAATCCAGTTTTATCTAAAAAGACCTAATCTAGGCAAAAATAATTGGGTTTAGTTAGAGTATATGATCCTATGCCCCTTATTACTGTCTGTGTGGGGATCCTGTGCCCCTTATTACAGTCTGTGGGAGGATCCTGTGCCCCTTATTACAGTCTGTGGGAGGAGCTGTGCCCCCTTATTACAATCTGTGGGAGGATCCTGTGCCCCCTTATTACAGTCTGTGGGAGGATCCTGTGCCCCTTATTACAGTCTGTGGGAGGATCCTGTGCCCCTTATTACTGTCTGTGTGGGGATCCTGTGCCCCTTATTACAGTCTGTGGGAGGATCCTGTGCCCCTTATTACAGTCTGTGGGAGGATCCTGTGCCCCCTTATTACAGTCTGTGTGAGGATCCTGTGCCCCCTTATTACAGTCTGTGGGAGGAGCTGTGCCCCCTTATTACAATCTGTGGGAGGATCCTGTGCCCCTTATTACAGTCTGTGGGAGGATCCTGGGCCCCTTATTACAGTCTGTGGGAGGTTCCTGGGCCCCTTATTACAGTCTGTGGGAGGATCCTGTGCCCC